TCCTCTCAATTCTATTTTTTCTTTTAACTTTTGAAGTACAGCAAATACGCTGTACAAATTTTTAATCTATTTATTGAGAAGATATTTATCCGTAAAGATTGAAAGTCTGAACTTTTCTAAAAAATATTTGACAAAAGTCAAGATTCTCAGATTTCTTGAGTTGGCAGCTCTACATCAATAGATGACATACGAGAAAAATATTCTATCCGCACATTAACCTTCTTTCTCGCTCTCTCTCTGTTTTTTACTAGTGCGCTGTTTCCCTCATGAGCACCGAGGCTATTGACTACTCTATACACGAAAAATTTTGTGTGACGTCATCAACGCATCTTTATATGCAAATATCTTTATAATTACTACATGTTATGCTTTCATATTTAATAGGTAGTTATCTTATATCATAAGCAGAATAATAGAAAAAAGAAAAGCAAAAAATACACCTATGTAGCATAGGAAATAGCTAAAATAGTTATAAGTTGTTTTTAGTCTTAAATAATGTCTTATTAAAATATCATATCTTTCGCTATTTTTATAAGACATTCTTATGTTGAACTTCTTTCTGTCTTAAAGAAATAAGAAACGGGTTCCGCAGAATAATAGAAAAGCAAAAAATACACCTATGTAGCATAGAAAATAGCTGAAATAGTTATAAATTATGTTTGTATAAAAACATAGTTTCTGAGAAATTGCACTTAACGAAAGACTCCTAATAAAGTACCTGATTTTTAGTAGGCTGTGAATAAATCAGATATTTCTGATAGTAGTCATAATTTTGCAGATCATAAAATCGAGAAATTACAATCAATGGATTAGAAGACGATAATGGGAGAAAAAATTTTGCAAATGCTACTATGCAATTAATTAGTAATTGTATTTTGACATCAAATTTTTTTAGAGATTTGACTAATACCTCTAAGTCTCCTTTAAAACAATTATTCTTTATGTATATAAATAATCACAGTGACCTGAGGACTTCCATCCTGCTAGAAGATATTGGAAATCATTTTAATACTGATGGAGAAACAGATCCTATATTATTATTTGATTTGTTATGTAAAAAATATTAGGAAATCCAACAACTATTTACTAATCATTTACAATATATGGATCGATGCAATACTTGCAGTTATGTCAATTCGTACGCAGAAGAAACTATCCAATTATCGTTTTCGATTCCTTTAAGCATAACTAATATTAACAGTTTACTAAAAAACGCCTATTCTCATTGTCAAAAAGAAGAAAGTACTTGTCCAACATGTAGTCAGGAAACTGAATGTCAACGTAAAATTCCAATGGCCCTTCTACTGGGCCATTGTTGCTGTTTCCTTAAATATATTTCCTGATGGCGAAAAAGAAAAGGCGATATCTGTCATAACATTTATACAGTAAAGAGCGCTATATTCTATGAAAGTAAGTCTTTATCGCCAGGTCATTTCTACAGTATGATAAAAGAAAATACATCTTCGAAGTGGGTTAAAATCGATGATTTAAATCATAAATATGAAAGATGGCCAACGAACAGTAAACACGCTTACATTCTGTTTTTATACAATAAACACTTCAGACCTTCGAAAAAGTTGTAAAAGTACTCATATTCAACGATTGAAACTTTGAATTACGACAGATGTGCAAAATCATGCTATCATAGATTGTTTGATAATCAAAACGGTGTGATAAATAATAAAACTATTTCGATAATCAGTATGATTTTCATTATACTTGGAAAACGAGATTTATAGTTGGTTAAGAGATGGCTATATGGGGTGAAGGAGGCCATCAATGTTTCTTGCAGAAGAATTCTATGAATGCATATAAAATTTTAATTTATCCATAGAATAATTTGTACATTTCTATCTTCTAAAAATTTAGATTTTCAGAAATTTTAAATACAAAAATATTCAAATAAAATCAAATTGTTATCGTCGTAGCAATTCCCACAGTAAGTTTAAAGACGAAATTTCAGGCAATCATAGGGACTAGTGATAGAAGTAAAACTTGAAACTATCATATAACAATAGTATGTTTGAATTTTTGAAATTGTAGTATGAAGAATTGAAAATTTATAATTTGTAAAATGAACCTATCAGTATTAGTCCACGTTCTTATATCTATCATAGCTATAAACATACTATTAACGTTACCATATCGGTAACGCAGATGGTTTGGTGATGTGAACTTATAAGTTTGTCTCCTACTAAAAATTGCTCCAACGCGCCTAAAGAAGTTTTCATTTTAAAAATAAGTGAAATCCGAACAAAACAGGCATTTACGAATGCCTGTAAAAATTGGCGCCAATTCCACATTCAAGTAAAATTAGTGTAAATGAAAGGCAGGTACGATCAAAAAAATATGTGAAATCAAGTAAAACGCCAAGTTAGCCGCGTTTTTTTTTCATGATCTTTTCGAACTAGAAACGTACTATTGGCTTATGAAATTTAAGTTGATTTTGAATTACAGATAAAAATTATGTTTGAAATCAAAAAACTATAGAACTTAGCCCACTTTTGCTTGAAAGTCTGCCCAATCCAGTTTCAAATGTCCTTATGTACAAAGAACTATACCAAAAATAACTGAAATCACATGTAATGCCGAGTCATTTATTGAATGGAATAGAATCTTTTTGCTTTCAATTGATAAGGAAAAACTAAGGACTTTTCGAAGATATCATTTTCATTTTCATGTTATTTACAAAAATATTCTTCGAATAAAATGTTAAGAATTAACAGCAATTTTTTGGGTGATTTAAATTAATCGAAAAAAATATTCATTTGAAGAAAAAATTGATGACTTGGCCCAATTTTAATGATGTTCTATTTTTAAAATACTTCATGAGCATTTATGATTTGAAAACATTGACAAATATTTCAGTAAAAAAGTATACGGTTATCATATTTTATATTTTATTCCCGGAATTTGTAGAAAATTAGGCAATTTGTAGGACTTGACATTACATGTGATTTCAAATATTTTTGGTATCTAAATATTCCAATAGTCTATCACATATGAATGTTATTATATTAGAGTCACTTAGGACGTGGACTTGGCGCAAAGTTTTACCGACATCTGGTGAAGTCGGTTTTGGTAGGATTTTATCTATATATACATATATAGATATATATATATATATAAAATCAGAGTGTCTGTTTATGATTTTAAAAAAAACTGCCTCAAAATGAGCTCAGAGGGTTATTTGCGTGCCGTTAAAACGTAAATGGCCATTTTTAGAATTGTTGTCTGTCTGTCTGTTCGGGGTAATCTCAGAAATGGCTGAACTGATTTCAATCAAACTTTGCAGCTATAAAAAATGGGACGATAGAAGTAACATAGGCTACTTATTATTTCTGTAAATTGTTTATAACAATTGAATTCGTTATAAACAGTTGAAACGGGTTCAATACAACATATTTGAGTTCTTCTAACGCGTAATCTTTTCTTTTACGAAAATAAAGTTATTTGACATAGAAAATTTTTTTTTCATAAGAACTGCATTTTTTATAAAGAATTGAAAACGAGGTCAATGAAATATGTACGATTTCTACCAACGACATATTTTTCCTATGAGCGAAAAAAATTATTCATCATGCATCCTCAATAGAAACGGATTTTTTTTGCCAACAAAGGTAAAATTCTCGAACATTCTGAAAAATTCTAGGCATTACTAGGAATTCATCGAAAATATCCAAACTTTTCTGAAATTTTTAGAGAATTAAAAAATATTTTCTGAAATTTCAATATTTGAAAAATTTTAATCAACTCATGTTTCACATAATTCATATTTAAAAATAATCCATAAGTAATTCATATTATTTATATTTTCTTTATGAATATTAACGAACGAAACATAAAAACCATTCATTTGCTGACATTACACATTTGGAGTATACCTATATATATCGTTGAAAAATCTTGGCTACGAGAGAGAGAGGTTTGCGTCAAATGGTTTTTAGATAAGACTGACAAAGAAGAGGCTAGAAATTGAATTGAAATGTGCGGAAAACAGAATATTATCTTTGAAAAACAATAGGAATTGATTTTGAACTAATGTAAACAAGTCATTTTTGCATTACTATTACTGGGATCGAACCCTAATCGACAAAATAGAAGTCCAGCGTTCTGACCGCAGAGCTGTCGTATTAATAATCTCTCTATTTATGCTTGTGAACTATAAGCAGCAGGCTTGGGCATGAAGAGTGGGTGTAAAGCTTGCCCGCGATGTGCCGGAACTCGCCGCGGATTGTTTAAACTATTTTTCATTGTCAATAAGTTGTTAACAACAGGCTATTATCAATGTATCTGTATGAAAAAAGGTTAATGGCCGTTTTCAAATTTTTTCATCGTTTAATTAAAAGATGGTTTTACATAAAAATTGAAACTGAAAACTCATTTTTGGTATGATAAAATTGCAATTACATGCAATTTGAATAAAAAAAAATTTTGCTGTAATTGAAATCGGACACCGTTCAGCTAAATAAAAGCCGAGCGATCTTTTTACAGAGCCAGCATATACATGCGTAATTATCTATGTTGTTTACATTTATGGATTATAAGTTTCAGGCTTGGAAACAGAAGTTAAAGTGGAAACTGAGCTCGCTCGCCAACTGCTCGAATTCGCACTTTTTTTCTGACAAATAAGACGGAGATGGATAGATATATTCTCACTCTATCTTACTTGGAACAGATAATTCTGAAATTTGTAAATTTTTTGGTTCCGTAAGACTCCCTTTTTTTGGTGCATGCCTGTAAATTATTATTTTTCAAACTATTTCCATGTTACCTGAATGACGCAATGAATAATGGTTGGATTGAGAAGCTGATTGTTTGAACAGTGCATTATAATTTCTAATCAGAAAAGCTCAAGAGTTGAAATTCAATGATGTGTCAGCGTGGCTTCAAATATCAATAAATGTCTGTACCGTGTAAACTCTAATTTTGAGTTATGAAGAGCTTCTGTATTTGATATCTATTAGTATTAAACTAACATTTAGAAAAAAATGACTCACCGTGGTCGCTATGAGGGCTATCAGCTCTTCTGTCATCTTTTGTATCTTTTTCTGAGTTTGTGTCTGATTTCGCTTTCCGTTGGAGCTTTTTCATTTTTGCTCGTTGGTTCTGAAACCACACTTGAACTACACGTACACTCAATCCCGTATCTTTTGCAAGTGCTTCACGAACTTTTCTACATGGTTTTGGTGATAACTCGAAGGAGGCCTTAAATTGTCGTCTCTGAGCAGATGTAAGAATGGTGCGTGGTCGTTTCGGTCCGCGACGGCCATCTCGGGGTCTCACATCGTCTAATATGTCATCATCTAGAAAAAATAGAAACGGTTTAGTCTTTATACATGATCGATAATCGGAGTAATTAAAATAGAGCTTTCTATAAAATGTATTTTTTTTTTTTTCCGATGTAAAATCACTCAAAAAATGGTCATATTATGAAACACAACAGCATCATATTAATCTCAAAATACGTCTGATAGTGCAATCCATTTCATTTTTCACTGCACGTGAATAATATTTGACTTTGTAACAGAAATCGTAAAACATATTTGTGATTGACAATTGTTAGGTAGTGTTAAAGTTTGTACACTTAAACCTAAATGCATACTTGTTTACATTTTCGTGAATTTGCAATATTAAATATACGTGTGTGTGTGATGTCACGCATTTTTTTCTGCAGACAGTTTATTAGCGATCTTGAATTTGCTACTCATAGGTTTGCTATCACAGGTATTCTGCAGTTTTCCTGTGTCATTATGCAAATGAAATCCAATGGTTAAGGCGTAAGTCGGCTGCAGACGCAACCTGGCATACTATGTGTGTAATAGAGTGTCGGGCAGGTAGGAAAGAAAGGGAGGCAAAGTGATAGAGGAGGAAGAGTATGTGTTGAGAAGGAGAGATAAAAAGGTGTGTGAAAGAGGAGAGGATGAGAAATAAAGGGAGTAGTGTGTGATAATATACATGTATGTAAAAATCTGTAAGCTGGACATTTATGTGACACCATGTTTTTGATAGCTTATAAGGTGTGTCTTGATCTTCTTACAAGGTCCTTCGAAGAATATAGAGATATTTCTAATAGTTTGCAGGATATTTACGTTTTTCTACCATCTGTACATTTGTGTGACTTATATATAAGCCACATGAATGAATAATTCGTGCTACTTTTATATATACTTCTGAAAAATGGCTTTATATTGTTTTGAGTATGATAACACGAAGAGAATATGTATGAAAATATCAGTGCTCTGCAGTAGTCTGGGTGCGACCCGAAAGGTCCACACGACCAACTTCCCAGTGGAAAAAATGAAAAAACAAGTCGAAAAGAACCCGTTTCCATTCTTTATAACGAATAGAATTGTTATAAACGAAATGAATGTGTTTTTATTCATTTGATATGCTTAGTTACTTCATTTCAATAATAGAAAGAATTGTGCGTTAGGAGAATTCGAATATACCTCATAGATCCTTTTTTTCATTATTTTCAACAAATTTCATTGTTATACACGAAAAAGTATGTTTCCATTTATCTGCTACGGTTGGTAATATTTTTTTAGTAAAAGAAAAAATTATGCGTTAAAAGTACCCATATATATATAAGGGTCCCTATTTTTATTGTTTATAACAATTTAAAACTTATTATTTAAATATTACTATGATCAATAATCACTTGTTAGTAACAATGTTCAATTGTTATGGACACAATTCCATGTTATTGACAATTATTATAGACTATTATAGCATCTTTAATGCTGTTTTCTCAATCCTGACACGAGTTTAAAATACTTTCATTGCTGATTTTGTTTTTTCAAAATTTCTTTTTTTGATGAAATATTGTCATCATATTTTTATACAAGTATTCTAATTATTTAATATTCATATTTTTTAAAAGATTTCGAAATTTTGTCTAAAAAATGGTATAATTTATAAATTGAGAAATTCAGGTCATTTTCCATTTTTGCTAGTTTTTTGGTTCTGAAATAAAATGGCTGGGCCGATTTTGTTGAAAACCGAATCAGTTCTAAGTTGCGCAATTACGTGTCGAATGCAGTTGGTTCCACGTCGATATCATTGTTCATTCTCGAGATAATCGAGGCGAAAAATAATTCCGAACGCACATATGCACATACGCACTTCCCGCTGGGAAGTTAAAAACAATTTTTCTATCATAATACTGATGATAGATGTGCCGTCCCTAACTTTCGTTGAAGTTGTCATATAAATGATTTTTTAGCCTTTTTTCTTCCTTTAAAATATTATTCCAAAATGAATTTGTACCAAAGAAACTATTTGTTTTCTAATATTGTAAAATAAGACTCAATAACAACTTCGGAAAATAAGTAAATTAATTAAAATGTTTATTAATGATTGACAGCAATTAATTAAAAGTAAGAATCCGTGCGGTCAACTCAAGTTTCAGACAAAAACTGGAGATAAACAAACTCTCTTCTCGTTGCTATAAACAATCTAGTCGTCAAGCAATCGTTGTTAACTAACAAACTGTCGTTAGTCTAATAATCATTAGATGGCGACACACAAATATTTTACACTTCTCCCGATCTTCTAAAAAATTGCCACCTGGCAATTCCTATTAGTTGGGTAAAAATATTGGATTAGGCTGAAATAAAAAAACATGAAAGATCTAAAATTTAATGTCTAATTCGAAATTATGATAATCAAAATAATAATCATTCAGCCTAGATTCCAATATTGCCGCTTCCCAACTCTGTCTGCTTTAAAAACAAATAAAACAAATAATTAGGAGTGAAAAATCCTGCGGCGGGTAAAAACCTCCAAACAGACCAAAATGATTTAAATTAAACTAATAACGTGATTCTATACAATAAAAGATTTCTTAAGAACTAATCGTCCGTTAGTCAAATTAAAAATTAAAAATTAAAATTTCCATCTTCAATTCCCTTTCCATCCTTCTTTTTCATCAGGAGGAACCACTGGGAAGAACCATAAGAACCCAAAGAGTAGGAAATGCCAAGAACTGGAAGGTCATGGAACTAAACAAAATAAAAGTTCCTCACAGAATCAAAGTTCTTTAAAAATTTCATTTTTAATCATAAATTCAATGTTCAATTAATAATTAGGTTGAATGGTCACATTTCATGGAGTCAATTCTCCAAATAAATTCCGACTTCGCATCCTTTTTTTTAATTAAAAATCCGACTCTCAAATAAATGATTCAATATCATTAAAACAATCAATTCAATTCCACCTTGCGCAAGGAATTTTCATAAATAAGTTCAATAGCTTCTGCTCACTGTGCAAACTAAATTATTAAAAATTGGGCTCACAGTTACGCATACTATCCGAACAAAAAAATTAGGATACCATGGACATCTAGTACCTCACTTTGCTTCACTTTGGCCAATAAATGAAGAAAAGGATTCCAGTACAATGACTCCAACCGTGTATATCCTACAGTAACTCCACGAGAACGCTCCAGGACAGACATTGTGAATTTAAATCAACAATCAAATGATCAATGAGAGCCAACATTCTCAGACTGGAAGTTACAAAAACCCTGAATTCAACAGAAATTAGGAATCCAGAAAGCGTCAACAATGATTCATTATCATCATACGGAGCGAGTCTAATCATTCAATCACTTAAAAACGACCATTCAAGATTTTCTGAAATTCGAAACACAACATCTTTAAGTAGATTTCAGATGCATGAAGACCTTCCAAAAAAAACTAAAACTTTAGGCGATTTCCTTCACTTTAAAGAAAAATTGAATTAAATCTCTGAATTTAATCTGAAAGAATTTCAAATCAAATTTAATTTTTTTCTGTTAAACTTGATTTAACAGCCTGAAAAATCCTACAATTCTTCTTAGAATGACCTTCTATTCCACAAATCCAACATCTAATTCCATGAAAAGAATTTTGATTATTAAAAGATTTTAAATTTCCTTCAACAGAATCAGAATGATTATTATTATCATAATAAATTTTATCTTTTTTGAAATTACTGTTAAAGTTGTTTTTATTCTGACCTCCGAAGGTCAAATTTTTAATCGACTCAAGCTCTAAAGCTCTCTGAGTTGCTAATTGAAGAGACTCAATTCTCTCTGAACGAAGAGAAAATTGTAACTTTAATTTTTTTAATCCGGAAATAAATTGTAAACCAGCAATTCTATCTCTCTCTTCGGAAGAGACCGAAGGATATACGCAAATTTGACAAGCCTATCCAAATCATTTGAAAAATCAGTTAAATTTTCATTTTCAGACTGTTTTCTAGCCTGAAAACGACTAAAATAAGCTCGAGAAAATTAAGCTTCACCAAAACGATCTTCCAAAATTTTCTTCAATTTATCGAAATTCCCTAAATCTTCTAAACTCAAATTTTCTAAAATGACTTGAGCTTTGTCCTTCAAACAGGACACTAAAATCGATGCTTTAACTTCATTTGTCCATTTATGTAGACGAGCGATAGTCTCAAATTGACGGAAATAAGATTCCCCACGTCTGAGAACCATCAAATTTTCCTGGTTTTGCAAAAGCTAAAGAACTACTGTTAACTGAAAATGTTGAGACCGATTCAACCAAATTATTAGAGTTATTTTCTGAATTATGAATTTCCAGATTATTATTATTATTATTATTATTATTATTATTATTGTTATTATTATTATTAATTAAATTTCTTATCTCTTCAAATAAATTTTGAGTCTCTCTTCGACCTTCTTCAAAACGAATCTGATCACGATTTAGTCTTTCTTCCAAACGATTCAATCTCATCTCTAAAGCTAAAAGTCCTCCATTACTACCGTCTTCGACACAATCAGCATATTGAGTTCTCCTTGCAGCTCGAGTTTGTCTCCGACTTGGACTCTTTGACATGATTTCTAAAATATTTTTCCAGAAATCACCAACAAAAATATTCACGGCACGCGAAACGAACCACTTTCTAACACCAATGTAAAATAAGACTCAATAACAACTTCGGAAAATAAGTAAATTAATTAAAATGTTTATTAATGATTGATAGTAATTAATTAAAAGTAAGAATCCGTGCGGTCAACTCAAGTCTCAGACAAAAACTGGAGATAAACAAACTCTCTTCTCGTTGCTATAAGCAATCTAGTCGTCAAGCAATCGTTGTTAACTAACAAACTGTCGTTAGTCTGGGTTTGTTGTGGTTTTGTTGGTAAAAAAAAATAAAAAAAAAAAAAAAAAAAAAAAAAAAAAAAAAAAAAAAAAAAAAAAAAAAAAAAAAAAAAAAAAAAAAAAAAAAAAAAAAAAAAAAAAAAAAAAAAAAAAAAAAAAAAACAAAAAAAAAAAAAAAAAAAAGGAAAAAGAGTAAAGTGTTGGATTTTGGTGGGGGTTGGGGTGGGGTGTGTGTGGTTGGGAAAAGGGGGGTGTGGGTGGTGGGGGTGGGGGGTGGGTTGTGGGGGGGTGTTGTTTGGGGGGTGGTGGTCGTGTGGTTGTGTTGTTTGGTGGTGGGGGGGGTGAGGGGTGGATGGGGGGGGGTTGGGGGTGGGTTGTGGGATTGTGGGGGGGGTGTGTGGGGGTTGGTTTGGGGGGTGGTGGGGGGTGGGGGTGGTGGGGTGTGGTTGGGGTGTTTGTGTTTGGGTGGGGTGGTGGTGTGGGGTTTGGGGGGGTTTTCCATAGATTGGCGACATACAATATTTTTACAAAATATATATAGACCTAGTAGAAAAAGCCCTGTCTACAACAAAAAAGTATTTATGATTGGATCCCCACAATCCACCACTCAACTGTTTTTTCATAATTATGATACGCACTACATTTTTGTAGATACATAAATCGCTAAAACAAGATGCTGTTCTTTCTAAAAGACGGAACACAATTTTGTGTTTTTTATAAAAATCAACAGTCTGAATTTTTTGTTTTATGGTGTTACAAAATGTACAATTCCTTAAAAACTTAATTGCGTATGTTATTTTCTATTCAAAGTATATTTTTCTAATCTTCTTATACTGAAAACAGCGGGAATGACGCATATGTATGTGATTGATAAATAATAAATCCAC